TCAACATAATATTATCCTAAGAATCTAATATGTAGATTATTTTAGAATTACATTATTAAAAATAAAAACCGTGTTGAATTAAATTAAATTAAATTAGATATATGAAAGTGTAAAACAGCTGCGTGCAATAAGATGTAAGAAAATGAAGGGTGGCCTCCACACGTAATTTATTTATATAGTTTTAAAAAGAGTGGGCACCTTCCTAATTCCCCAGCTGCCCATACATTCCATTACCCCATTACCAAACGCACCTTAATGCGCTGTTTCTGTAAAATGATTAATTAACTACTCCGTCAGTTACATCATCCACATTCCTACCACGCCACCAATCACCCTCGTCGGGAACCATATTTACTAGGGAGCAAGTTGTGTTCCACAGTAAAAAGGTCAAATAAATTAGTTAGGAAATAACACTTTTTTTGAGTTAATTCCAGCAATAGTCCTCCGACTATGTTGATTTTCCACAATTAGTCCTCGAGTTTTAATTTGGACAATTTAGACACTTGACTTTCAAAATCTTTCCAATATTGATCCTTCCGTTAGTTGAATGTTAAGTGGATGTTAGTTTGAGGGGTAAAGTAGTCATTTTACTTATTTAGACTCTAATTCACCGTTTAACACTGGAGGAGACCATCGGCGAGATTATCGGTCGTAGTTTGCGAACTTGATGGTCGCGCCAACCGCGACTGCCCAATCGGAGTCCCAGCCGCCCCACGGCGGCGATGGTGATTCTGAACCGGCAGCAAGCATCCCCAACACAGCAGCTCTCCATTGGGACCACCGGCGAGACAATCGGCCATTGTTTGCGATCTCGGAGGTTGCGCCTGCCGTGAACTCTCCGGCGACGATCTTGCCACTACAAGCCTCCGATGGTGTCTCTGTTACATCCATGAGAGTCCCCATCACCACAGCTACTCATCAAGACCATCAGATCGAACATCGGCCTACCTTTGCGTCTTCGGCGATCACGACTGCCGCGATCTCTCCGGTGGAGATCCGCCCGGTAAACGCCGGCGATGGACAATCGGCTCTAGCCAGAAGCCTCTCCGTCACAGCAGCTCTCCAACGAGACCAACAGCTTCACGATCGGAGCACGGTTGCGAACTCTCGGTTCGAAACTGCTCCGCCGTTGACCACCCTTCCGACGGCTGTAGTGGGCCCCTCTGCGTCTTCTGGGGGTTTCAATAGCATGGCTGCCACCTCTGAATTGTCGTTTGTCACCAATCGAGGTCTTGACCGGACTCCGGTCACCTTTACGGCAGTGCTTGACGAAACTCCCTCCATGGTGGTTTCTAATCCTCCTGTGTCTTCGAATATGGCTGTCCAAGGCTACATGGTGGCACAACAATTGTTTACTGCATCCATTCAAGCACCCAGTGCCATGCCTAGCATTCTGCTGGCTTCATCCCAACCGGCCAGAATTGCAGTTGTGGTGTCCGGTGCTAAGGGGCCATATCGTTGACAAGGAATTACACCCAGCAGGTGAAATGACTGTTTTACCCTCCTATTTAACATCCACTTAACGGGTTTGTGATGGAAGGACTAACATTGGAAAGATTTTGAAAGTCGAGTGTCTAAATTGTCCAAATTAAAAGTCGGGGACCAATTGTGAAAAATCAACATAGTCTGAGGACCATTGCTGGAATTAACTCACTTTTTTTTAACCTGCCCATGTTTAGTTCAATAGTTCCTTAGATAGTATTTAGGAGAAGAGATCAATGTCGAACTTTAGCAGCAATAGTGTAGAATTTTGTCTAAAATGGACTGATTCCTTGTGTGCACTAGCATTTGGCTATATTCATTGAGTCATTGAGTCATCGTGATTTACATCTTGCCAAATACTCAGTTAGGTCGGAGTGTAGGAGCTCTTGGCGTTGGAAATTCAACATTTTGTGAGAATAATAAAAGGAAAATGACACTTTTTACCCTTGAGTTATATACTTATAGCACTTTTTCCCCCTTAATTATTCAGGTAAGCACATTAGCCCCCTCAATTATTCTAAAAGTGGTGTTTTCCCCCCTGATATATTAAATTGACATTTATACCCTTAAAGTAAACATTTTATTTATTTTACTACTCCAACAAATTATTGCGTATACGTAGGGATGACCACAGTTCAGTTTGAATTGAACCGGATACTAAATCAATCGAATTAATAGTTTCCTGGTTATAATTCAGATCTAGAACCCAATATTTAAATTTCAATTTATTAAAATTATGTATCAAAAAAATTGAATCTTGAACCGTGAACCGGCGATTCCGGATCCGATTCGCGATTTTGAACCGTCTTTATTTTAAAATGTTATTTTTTATTTTAAAATAGTCTAAATTCAACAATAAATGTATTTTATTTTTTCAGTTCGGAACATGAACCGTCCGTTCCGGTTCACGATTTTACTAAACTCTAAATATCGAATTTCGATTCTAAATTGTAATTGGAATATTTCGGTTTGGTTGCTATAGTATTTGTTTGGTTTGAACCAAATTATGATCATAATTTGTTGGAGAAAAAAAAATAAATTAAATATTTAGTTTAAGGGTAAATATGTCCATTTAACATTTCAGGGGGAAAAACAACCACTTCAATAATTTAGGGGGAAAAATGTTATAGGCATATAACTCAGGGGGAAAAAAGTGCCTTTTTCCCGAATAATAAATGACACTTTTAGTGATTCGATGATGAATCGTAACTGAATTTAAGTTAATCAGTTATTATCTGGGTGAGAGATTTGATTTTTTTGGGGATGTGGTTGTTTTGCCTTGTGAAAGACCAACTTTATTAATTTGATAATGACTGAATCTGCATCTCAAATAATTGTTAGAAATTCATATAACAGTTTAATTTAAGGAAATTAATAGTTACAATGCGCGTATATATATATATATATATATATATATATATATATATATATATATATATATATATATAAAATCTAATTTCACGAAGTCACAAGATTGAAAGACGGTTTGGGACACGCATGAAGCCTAACACCCATTTTCGTATCTTGCAAGTGTAAAATTTTTCCAAAAAACTCGAGTCTCCATCTGGCAATGTCGGATAATAATAATAATAATAATAATAATAATAATAATAATTATTATTATTATTATTATTATTATTAATTTCCCACCAAATTTCAGAATTCCACGAACCGTGACGACGCGTGGGAGGTGTAGTCGGCCAACCACTAAACAACAGCGGCGGGGTATCTGAAAAGGCAGTACATGTTCCTCAGTATCCAGCCGTAGATCCTTCGTAAAGTCGAGGAAAAATGATCATAACGAAAAAGATCCAACGGCTAATAATCAAACAGCTGGGTAGGCTATAACCAAGGCTTTTCAAATTCAACAACGCACGCAAACAAAATAAAAAATCAGACTCTCCGATTTTTAAATGCATGCGAAACCGGTGCTCTCATAGCCAGTTGAAATTATAAGCCTCATCCCTATTTTTTCTTTAAATTACCAAAAACTATTAGGTATCACTAATATTTTAAACTTTAATATTAATTTCATTGTAATTCTATATTTTTTAATATTAAGACTCACTGGGTTAGTGTTATGTTGTGTTATTTATTTATTTAGTTATTGTTATTTATTTATTTAGTTATCTTTATTATTGAATTTTACATTGTGATTGAAATTGAAATTTTGAGTCTTAGTAAATGATTGTGGTTAGTTGAGGGTGAGGGTTTTCTTCTACCGATGTTGAGACTGACTTCAAGGTGGTAATTATGTGAGTTAAATAAATGGTGAATTGGTAAGATCTTCTACTCACTCATACTTTTGAAAAAATAAAATTGGAACAAATGGTATACATTACACACCCCATTCGAGGATTATCCTCCATTTTTGAACCCCCAACAAAAATGTTTTTAGAAAATCTCATTGAATTATGTTATGTGACTTATTTTATCTTTAATATTATTGAATCATGAATTATGGCTGAAATTGAATTTAGAATGTTATTAGAGGATTACAACTAGCTTAGACCGAAAGGTTCCACTGGGTCTCATAGTTGAAAGTGACTTGAGAATGGTGATCAAGTGAATTAAATTGAGTATACTCTCTAATACGCATTACTTGTCCTTATTAATATTTTCAATAAAGAGATGGCAAAGATGTGAGGATATTCAACTTACGTAGTTTTTAAGGGACAGAAATAGGGCAACTAATATGTTAGAAGAGATCTCACTAAAATACCATTGAGACTTGCAATAGTTTGATAGCCCTTCGATGCCACTTCATTGGATCTTGATGATGATCATTTCGTTATCTTGTAGAGTGGTCGTGCAACATTCATGATAATTCTTATGAGGTTTCTCTTCCATTTAAAAAAGAAAATCTCTTAAAACTCCTTAAATTAATGGTATGATGTGTTATTTAATAATTTTTTTTATCTTCACAGAAGTTGAAATTTGAAAAGTTGTTAGATAATGTAGTTAGTTTAGAGCAAACGGATCCATCAAACACCATTGAAAGTGACTAGAAAACAGTAATACAGTATATAAAAGGTAGTAATATTACTTAATTTTCAATACTCACCCTTATTAATGTTTGTAAATTGTAATAAAGAAATGATGAAATAGGACATTCACCTCATTTATGTTATTAGAATAAGATAATTGATACCCCTACTCAGTTTTTATTTCAATATTCTCGAAATCTTCAATAGATTGAAAATTTTTCAACACGTATTTACCGAGAAAATGCTTATTTCAATATTCTTTTCATAAACTAGCCCTTCTGCATATTTAATTCCTCTTTTGAAGCTTATTCCTCTCTTCTGATTAAAAAAAAAATGAAAAAAAAAATATTGTTGAGATTCATGAATTAGAACATAAATCTAAATATATGTTTGTTGTAAACGCAAAAATATATTTAAAATTTAAACGAAAAGTTATGCGGAATGCGGAGTTATATTTTAAGAATGCGGTAACCGTAACGCGCTCTCTCTCCAAACGACCAACTTATAATGATGACAAGAATCAATCCAATAGCTTAAAACGAAGCTGCCTTCATTCCTTTTTTTCTTTCTCTCTCTACACTTTTCTCCACCTTCTCTCTCTAAAAAAAAAAAAAAAAAAAAAAACTGCCTTTTTTCGTGTGTGTAATGCAGAATTTTGTTGAAATCCCACACCTTCTTCTGTAGTGGCTACAAACGATTGGGAGATTATTCGCCGGAGACAAAAATGTCGTCTGGGTTTCCCGGCAGCGTTCAGGAATTTTACGGCGGTCCCGACGGGATCTCCAACGGAAGATCTGTCCCCGTGGGGAATAATATCGGGAATCTTATGCAGGGGGGAGTGCAAGTTCCTTATGGGTCTCAGCTCCCCGGAATTGTGTCCGACCCGGCTTCTCAGATCGCACATCGGAGGTCCGATTTGATCGGGAAAAGGTCGCTGGTGGAGTTTCAACAGCAGCAGCAGCAACTGCAATTCCTCCAGCAACAGCGGCAAGGGGCGCTAGGGCTTTATCTTCGGAACGTTAAGCCTCGAACTTATCAGCACAGTTCTCCGATTTCTCCTCTCTCGCCGGTGGATTTGTCGGCGCTGTCCTCGATTTCTTCGAATTCAAATTCTCCGGCGATGAACGCGAGGTACGGCGTCCCGATTCTTCAACAATTCCGGCCTCAACTCTCCATGCCTGCGGGGAGCGTTAACATTAACGGTGTTTCAGTTTTACCGTCTGGGTCCGGTAACCCGAATTATGCTTCCGGGTTTTCCTTTCCAAATTCAGTCCAAAACAGGGCCGGGCTCGAAACGGAGAAGAAGATGATGAATCGGCTTCAGGAGCTCGAGAAACAGCTGTTGGATGATATCGATGAGGAGGAGGAAGGCGATACAGTCTCCGCCGTAACGAACAGCGAGTGGTCGGAGACGATACAGAGTCTGATTAGCCCAGCCCAGACCCCAACCCAAACCCAAACCCAAGGCCCGACTGAATACCAGAACCAGAACAACAAACCGCAAATTTCGCCGTCTCCAACATCGTCGACGTCATCGTGTGCGTCATCCATGGAGTGTCCGGCGATAACATGCCCGAAGCAGGCAATATCAGAGGCGGCGACGGCGATAGCCGAAGGCAAAAACGAGGTAGCGTCGGAGATTCTCACGCGCCTCGCCCAGGTGGCCAACGTGAAAGGCACCGCCGAACAGCGACTGACAGCTTACATGACTTCCGCTTTACGATCGCGCGTGAGCCCCGTGGAATATCCTCCCCCACTATCGGAACTGCACACCAAGGAACACGAGTTCTCCACCCAGAAACTGTACGAAGCTTCGCCGTGCTTTAAGCTAGGGTTCATGGCGGCGAATCTAGCCATCCTCGACGCCGTTTCGGAGCAGAGATTCTGTAAGCTCCACGTCATTGATTTCGACATCGGCGAAGGCGGACAGTACTTGCATTTGCTCTACGCGCTCGCCGCGAGAAAAGCTGAAAACCCTACGGTGTTGAAGATCACGACGTTCGCCGACGTCCCCGGCGGCGATCAGCAATTGAGAGCCGTGGAGGTGGAGCTGCAGAAACAGGCGCAGACCGCTGGAGTGTGCTTGAGTATCAACATTTTGCCGTGCTCGAACATCGAGCTGAGCCGCGAGCGCCTCTCCGTCGATTCCGACGAGGCTCTGGTCGTGAATTTCGCTTTCAATTTGTACAAACTCCCGGACGAAAGCGTGACGACGGAGAACCGGAGGGACGAGCTGCTCCGCCGCGTGAAGGCGCTGTCGCCGACGGTTGTTACGGTGGTGGAGCAGGAGCTGAACGGGAACACCGCGCCGTTCGTGGCGCGCGTGAACGAGGCGTGCGGGTACTACGGCGCGCTGTTTGACTCGCTCGACGCGACCGTTTCGAGGGAGAATATTTTCCGAGTCGGAATCGAGGAGGGACTGGGTCGCAAAATGGGTAACTCGGTTGCTTGCGAGGGGAGGGACCGTGTTGAAAGATGCGAAGTGTTGGGCAAGTGGCGGGCCCGGCTCAGCATGGCCGGGTTCACCGCGATGCCGATGAGCCAACAGATACCCGACTCGCTCCGGTCCAAGCTCAACTCGGGGACACGTGGCAACCCAGGATTCACCATAACTGAACAAGCCGGGGGTATCGGCTTCGGCTGGATGGGACGAACACTCGCCGTCGCATCCGCTTGGCGTTAACTATACTTTATTATTATTTTTTTAATCGTCACTAAAAGTGTTTGAATTAGTATTAAGAAATAGTATTTTAATTTTAATGATTTTTCCCTTTTTCTTTTTATTTTCCCGTTGTTGTACTAAGCTTCTCTTCCTTGTTTTTTTCATTATTAATTGTTATTGAGAAAATTAAGGAAAAATTGGCCCCGCGAAGCGATTGAGAATATTTTTAGTGGCGCGTTTGGATTCTCCCACAAAAGGTATTCATTCATTACCACTTAACCAATTGTGTTGGTTTGGCAAATATGGGGCCCACCCTTTAGATTATTTCTGAGGTTGTATGGTTACTCTTAATTCAGACTTAAGGTAGCTCCAGTTGGTTGGAAAGTGTATTCTTCAAATTGGGTTCTCGTGGGCCCCTCTGCATCAATTTCCCTTCTCCTTTTATATTATTCTTTTTTTTTTTTTCCACTTATATTTTCCTAATTTAACCATAATAAATCTGGGTTTCAAATGGGCCTTTGCCTCAATTTAGTGTCTATCTAAGTAAATTTATCGTTAACTTCGATGTACCGAAAAGTTTGTAATGTGTTTCGTATGACTTTTAACAAACAGGAGTAAATTAATTTAGATTGTTTATCGTGGAATGACTCAATATAAAAAATCAATAAAAAACTTTATAGGATGATAATTTTGAAATTTTGTGATTAATAGGCCAATTATTCAACCAACTTGTTAAGGTTTTTATCAAAATTTATTGTTAACTACGCTTATAATTTGATATGTCATGTTATATATTAGATTTTACATTATACCACTTTCAATGTACACAAAAGATTGATAATTTAGTCCTGAAAAGAATGATTGAGTTGGCGGAGAATAATTCTTGTACGTACAAATCACGAGTTTTATAAATTAAATAAAATTACAATACTTATTCATTTGATGATAATTTATTTAAAATAAATATTCGGTATGGTACTATGTTGAATTTATAAAGTCGAAATATTTCAAAAAATAGGAATGCAACCTATAGGAGTACCATATTCCTAGATTTTGACAAGCACATGCCCCTGTTAACTCATTGTTCTGAATAATGTAATGATCATTGACATTTAGCTTTCTATGCGTTATAGGAAGAGAACGAATGTGTAAATTTTTGACGATTATGAAAAATAGTGTTAGATCATGCATCTTTCATATAATATTAGGACATTGTTTGACTTTAAATTCTTTGCAAACCGAACCTCGAAGAATATGGTGTTTCATGTTTGTGTTGCAAAGGATGATAGAATGGTGGGGTATGATAAGTGATGGGGTGAGAACCCCGGCCCAAGAAAAGAGGCCCAGAGAGAATGCATGGGCCGAGTCCAGGACTCGGCCCAGGTCCAAAGAGGGAGGCCCAGTTCAGAGACCGGAAGGACGGCCCAATACCAGGCGGGGACGAGGAGTCGGCCCAGGCCCGACCTAGGAGAGGACTCGGTCCGGAGAGCCGTTGAGGCATTAAAGGCCGGGCTCGGTCCGCTAGTTATTAGCCAAAGAGAGCCGTTGGCAGAGTCTGTAACGTCGCCCAACGGCTCGGCGCATTGAATGTACCCTTTAAGTCGGCCATCATGAGCCTTTAAGACGGTAGAGGAGGAGCCACTATAAAAGGGCTCCTCCACCATTGTATGGGACAGATTCCAGAACCCGGAGAGGGAATAGACAAAGTACTATTAAGCATCATATTTTACTACTAAAACTCAAACCCTTTTGTGAAAGGTGTATCCACCAGCTATAGGTTGTGTTGGACCTCCTTGGGCCCGAAAACCCAAAAACCATCACTGGCGCCGTCTGTGGGGATCGAAACGAAGAGTCACGTGTCCTCTTGAGTGAGGCGAGTCCGAGGGACAATAGTTGAATCAGGCAAACTCCAGATATGGCAGGAAGCGAGGAACAGTCGAGCCGTCAAGACAACGGACGGGAGGCCGACTTGAGAAACCAGCTGAATAGGAGAAATGCCCGAAGCCAAGAAAACGAGACGACACCGCCGCCGACGCCGCAGAGAAACCCGCAAGCACCTCAAGTGCTGCTCACCCCGGAGCAGTTGCGCGCAATCGGGCGCGCCTGTGCGGAAGCAAGTCTAGGAGTGAGAGAACAGTCCATCACTCGCCAGCAGCAACGCGAGCTGCGACCGCCTCAGAGGCCAGACAACCGGCAATTGAGCCGACGGGCTGAAAGCCAGCCGGTGCAATCCGTTCATTCTCGGCTAGGACCCAGCGTCGGGCGTCGGTCGGCAAGAGAGCGATTAGGCCGGAGGGAGCCCAGTCGTGCCCCATTAGTCGTCCGCGACCGACAAGCTGCACGAGAAAAGAGCCGAACCAAAAGGGCCAGGACTGAGACTCGCCGCGTGGAGCAACCCCCTCGCAACCCTGCCCAACCGGCTGAGTCTGAAGTCGGCGAAAGCACGGAATCCACGGGAAATCGCACCCGGGAAAGGGTCGAAGTGGCCAACCTAGTACAAGAGGTACGAAATCTAAGAGAACGGATGGAGGGAAAAGCCAAATCCCCGGGGCGTACGTTGCTAACCGCCTTGCCCTTCTCGGACGAGGTCATGGCCTTCAAGATACCGGGCGACTTTAAGTTCCCGGAGCAAGCCACATTCGACGGATCAGGCGACCCGCGAGAACATCTATTAAGTTACCAAGCTAAGATGCAAGTCCTAGGAGTGCGAGATCCGGTCATGTGCCGTGCCTTCTTACCTACGCTGAAGGGGCCCGCCCAAAGATGGCTTGTAAGTCAGCCCCCAGGGTCGATCCACAGCTTTGAAGAACTGGCAGACCGCTTCATGAGCCACTATGCCGCTAACATCAAGCCACAGAAGGATCTGACGCACTTAGGCGACATCCATCAGGATGAAGGCGAATCCTTGAAAGCCTATCTTGCTCGCTGGCAGAAGGAGATCCAGTCGATAGAAGAGGTGGAGGACCAAACGGCGCTCACCTTCTTCATTGAATCTTTGCGATCCGGACAGCTGTATCGAGATCTAAGGGACAATCGCCCGGCGACATACGCGGAGGCTGTCCAGATGGCCAATAAGAGGGCCAACACAGAGCAGGCCATGAAGCATAAACGGCAGCGTGAGGTCGGTGGGTCCGCCAGCGGAAAAAGGACGCGGGTGGAAACGAGAGAAAGGCGTTCGGATGCCGCTCGGCGACCCGAGGTCAGGCGACCGTATGACCGACCCGTCGTTCGCACCTATCGGCCGGTTCCAGAGCAACCAGTCCGCGAAGTACAGGCGGTCGCCCCGCCTCCGCCTCCGCCGATGGACGACCGAGCAGCGGACGAGGATACGGGTAAGACTTCTAAATATTGTCGCTATCACAAATCTTATACTCACAGCACAGAAGAATGCTACTATCTAAAGAAGATTATGGAGGGGATCATCCAGCAAGGGACACCGCCCCCTAACCAATGGAAGCGAAGGTCGACCGGTCGAGGAGGTGAGGAACCCGTCGCCAGCTCGGAAAACAGTCGAGGCAAGCGGCCGGCTTCCGAAGAAGACGAAGCCCAATGGCGCCAGAAGCCGGTCATTAACATGATAGTCGGCGGGCCGGAAGGCGGCGATTCCGCGAACACCCGAAAAGCCTGGGCTCGGCAGCTATACGTCGGAACAGTCTATGGTCGAGAAGAGAGCTCCAAAAAGACATGTCGGGAGCCCATCGTGTTCACCGATAAAGACCTGCCTGCCGGGGAAACCCCGCATCGAGACGCGTTGGTCATCGCCATGGACATCAACGGTGTGGTCGTCCGCCGAATCCTGGTCGACACCGGGAGCAGCGTCAACGTACTGTACCTGGAGACCTTTACCAAGATGGGGCTGACCCGAGAACAGCTCAGGCCCGTGAATACCCCTCTCGCCGGTTTCACCGGGGACTCGGTGGAGGCGGAAGGATCCATCACTCTTCCTGTAGAAATCGGCAGCTATCCGAACGTGCAACAGTTGAGCATGAAGTTCATCGTGGTCGATCTAGCCTGCTCACACAACGCCATACTCGGCCGCCCGGGTTTGGAAGATCTTGGGGCTCTGATCTCGATCGAACATTTGTGCCTGAAATTCCGCACGCCGAACGGAATAGGAACGGTGCGTTGTGACCGCAAGGTCGCCCGCGACTGTTATCTGCAGGCGTGTAGAGGTATGGGCAAGTGTGGGATGCAGGTCCATGAGATCACCGAGAGGCCCCCTAAGAAAGCAGTGATACCACGCCCGGAGCCGGCCGTCGAGCTAGAGGAAGTTGAAGTGGACCCAGCGCAGCCAAGCAGGCGAGTGAGAATCGGAGTCGGCCTTTCGGAGAAGTTAAAGGGGGAAATCACGAGAGTACTCCAAGAGCACCGGCTGGTCTTCGCCTGGGGCCCAGAAGATATGCCCGGCGTAGATCGATCGGTCATATCGCATCGACTCGCCGTAGACCCGGAGCACCGGCCGGTCGTGCAAAAGAAGCGATATTTGGCAAACGATCGGCGGGAGTTTGTGAAGAAAGAAGTCAGCACGCTGTTAGCAGCCGGACACGTCCGTGAGGTCAAGTACCCGGAATGGTTGGCTAACGTGGTCCTTGTGCCCAAGCCCCCGACGTGGCGAATGTGTGTAGACTACACAGATCTTAACAAGGCGTGCCCAAAGGATCCGTTCCCTCTGCCCCGAATCGACCAGCTAGTCGACGAGACGGCCGGGTCAGCGTTGCTCAGTTTTATGGATGCCTTCAGAGGGTACCATCAGATATTCATGCACCCGGCAGACGAGGAGAAAACCGCCTTCCTAACTCCGGACGGAGTGTATTGCTATCGGGTCATGCCATTCGGACTCAAAAATGCCGGGGCTACGTACACCCGAATGGTCGCCCGGCTATTCCACCACCTTCTCCTCCTCCCATTGACGGGTGACCCTCAGCAGCTCGGCGTTGTGCACCTCCACCATCTTGAGTTGCTTTGCCTGCTCTTCCAGAAGAGATTCCTCCGTCTGGCGCTGCTTGGCGGTCATGGCCCGCATATCGTTCCTAAAGCCCTGGAACCGATTGCCCAGTTCCATCTGGAGGGCGAGGTCCTGCACACCCAACCGTCAGTCGAACAGAAAAGAAAAGAAATGAGGGTAAACAGAGGGAAAGGCCGAATGAGTGACACTTACGCGATACGACTGCCGGAGCAAAGCCTCGATGATGAACCCGTCGCCAAGAGCACGGGTCGACTCCACATCCTTTGGCAAAAGGACATCCTTGCACCACTTGCGAACGGAGGTGTTGCCCATCCAGATTTGG